TCAGGAAAGACCAAAAGCTCTACAAGAAAGTCATGACTCCTAGAAGATAATTCTTTTAAGCGACTGATGGAATAGTAAAAACAGTGCTTTCTTGAAACAACCAAGTCAAAACTTTCGGTCTGGTAAGTCAGGAGGGTGGAAGATTAACTGCTACACCGAATTCATGTAAAATCTCTGGGTTTATTTGTAATAATTACAATAATTTTTCTATGACATTGTTTTCCTGACTTTGATTTTACTTGCAGATATTCCTTTTCTTATGGACTGGTATCAAATACTCACCCTAAAAATAGGGTTAGATTTTAAACACTGTTCTTCAATAGTATATTTTGACGTATGAAAAAGTTGACTTAACTACATCACCCAGAAATTTAAACGTATTCCCTTTAAGAAACATGTTCAGTTATCTAAAAAATTAATGAGAACCCCAACATCTTAATATTCTTGAAACAGTACTTTCTTTTTTAAAGGAATCTTTCTAATTTTAATGCCGTCACCCACTTTTTAAAGAGAAAACTCGTTTTGCAGAAGCATTTACTTGAAGTTCTGTAATTCCTGCAAGTTCAGCTTCAGTTGCCTTCTGTTAAAATTACATCGAATACTATTAAAAAGAAAACAAAATAGATTTATTGAATCATAACGTTCTGGGGTCTGCGTGGTCATGTGAATTTTGAAAAAAATACACGTGATTTTAAAGAACTGATTTAAATAATGCACTTTCAAAAAGTTTGGTTGGTTCCCTTCATGGGAGAGTGAATGGGAATGTAAGTGAGCGGTACTGGTACCATATTCGAACAGTTGCCGGATGCTCCCATTCTCTTTTGTGTAGCCTTTGCTCACTGAAGCATGTAGGGAGTGCAAGAGTATGTTGATGTTTATGTGTGCGTCTGAGAGATGGTGGAACTGCTGCTCAAACTTCACCTTCTTCACTGCCCTCAGCAATATTTTTTTTGTTGGGGGGAGGGGAAGGAGCATAGAGGCCAGTTAGAGTACGGAAAGCGGCTCTCTGGCAGGTATCTTACAAAGGGCTGAACTTATGGCTGGGTTGCCTGCCGGTTCCCGTCTACTGCTTGGGAGAACTTTGCCCCTGTGATCGTCTCATTAGCCTGCCAGTGGAGATGCTTCCAGCGTAACCCCGCCAATCCCTTTAGGCCTACGCTCTTTCACACAGCCAGGGGCTGAAGAAAGGAAAATGCCCCGTGGAATCGGTCAAGGCTCCCATGTCTATCACAGTTACCGGAGCACAGCAGAAAACAGCTCTTGAGCCAAAGGTCATACAAATCATATACAAGAGGGAAAAGTATGGACCAGGAAGCGTTTGAGTTTTCATTGAGAATAGGTAAAAAATTCTTCCCTACTCTCCTTTAACCTTACAGTAGATAATGGCCAATTTCTATCTTAAAAAAAAAATTCCTCAATAACGAAGATGAACGGCTTCGCAGACATGCTTTTTGAGATTTGGAGTGTCGGCCCATTACTGGGCGGCTTACTTTCTGCTTCCGGTCACGTGACGGGGCAACACCACACATTCCCATCGCTACTCCTGCTCGGTCCGCAGACCGACACGTAACTCCTCGGCCCTCAACCAAACTGCTCGGGGCACGTTCTTTCCGCGCTCTTGGCTCTCACGCGCAGGCCTATGACAGCTAGACGGGAGTACACAGTCCTGCCTCTAGACTGCTAAGTGATGGCTATACTGACCAGTTAACAAGCGGCAGCGTGGTCTCGTCCCCGCCTCCGAGCCTGACAGACAGTGACTCAAACCTATCGCTCTTCCGAAGTGTCGTATTGGTCCGGAGCCAGCCAATGGGGAGCGGTCCGGGAGGCAAACCCGGCCACTGCCAGGGTTGGGTGCGCCACTGAACGGATGGCTGAGGGAGCCGAGCGGATTGCTTAGGAACACCGGCTAGGTGAGAAGGCCGTAGGATGGATTTTGAAAATTAGCGGCAGGTGCAGTCCAGGGCGTTGGTGGGGCTGAACGAAGTGGGGAGGCAGGGCTTTAAGAGCAGGGGTGGAAAATAGAGTTTAGGGCCTTGCAGAGGAGGGGGCGTGGGGTGTGGTGTGGGGACATCCTGGATGGAAGGATGTCAAGGCGTGGGGAGGGAACGTAGGGCCGGTGGTCGGGGTGGGCATGCGCTTAGGCCAGGAGGGCGTGGGAAAGACTGGGTCCTGGGCCTAGCTCTGGAGGCGAAGGCGCACGTTGGAAGTGGTGGGATGTCCCGCGGTGGGTGGTATCAGAGGTGTGCAGTTTCGTGAGGGTGGGAAAGAGCGGGAGGTGGAACCTGCAAGAGAGAGCAGGAGGGAGGGCAGTGGAGTAAAGGAGTGTGAGAGGATGTCGAAACGTGTGTGGGAAAATTGGGCTGGGGAAGTTGCAGTCTTCGAAACTGGAGCTAGAGTGGGACTTGCGGGGCACAGTTGGAGGAGAACAGATGCTAAGTGTTTTAAGAAAAGTGTCTCTACTCTTATTTACTTTGGCGGTGTGCGGTATGATGAAAGAGCACACGATGAAAACTTTACCGTCCTGCCTTAAATTACCAGCTCCTTTACTCAGTTTTCAGGCAGAGGGCCTAGCATTCTCACTTCCTCTGCTTACTGTTTGGTGTGTGGCTCATATCAACTCAGTGGTGTTAAGTTTATTTCCATTTCAGACATTCCAGAAAACAGCTACAAACCTGAGAGAGATGGCTGGATTGTTGACTTCCCCGAGTTAGGTCTTTATTTTTGATTGCATGATAAGGTTTTCCTTTGGGATTATACTTAAACACACATCTAGAACTGCTCTTCTGGGACAGTTAATTATGGAAAAGATGTTGACTTCTCAGTGTTAGAGCTAGGAATGTGTGATTCTTCATGCCTTCCACCTAGTCCAGTGTTACTTTTTACTCCAGTAATAGTGGGAAAAAGATAAGGGTAGGGGGTAGCCAAAGGTTGGTTAGCAGATACACAAGTACAGCTAGATAAGAGGAATAAGTTCTAGTGTTCTGTAGCACTATAGGGTTGATTATAATTAACAAGAATTTATTGTATGTAGCTAGAAGAGTAGATTTTGAATGTTCCCAACATAAAAAAAAATGATAAATGTTTGAGGTGATGGATGTGCTAATTATCCTGATTTGATCATTATACATTGTATGTGTATTGAAATGTCACACTGTACCCCATAAATATGTACAATTATTATGTGTCAATTAAAAATAATAATAAAAGCAAAAAAAGATCAGGAGGGATGCAGGTTCTTTTTTTTCCCTGCATAGCCTTGTACAATGTTACCTGTCCTTTGTTACTATATTTTTTTATCACGTAGTCCTCGATAAGCTTATCGTTTAAGAAGGTAGTAGCTATCTTATACAGACAAAGCTAACCTCCTGTGGTTAATGCTATATCAATAATTCTTGTCCATCAAGTGATTACCATTCTGAACTATCTGTGGACTGCTTCCCTCAACATTTCATTTTATTTTATTATTTATTTATTTATTTTTTAGAGACAGGGTCTTGTTCCGTCATCTAGGCTGGAGTGAAGTGGTGCAGTTGTAGCTCACTGCAACCTTGAACCCCTGGGCTTAAGTGATCTTCCTGCCTTAGCTTCCCAAGTAGCTGGGACTACAGGCATGCACCACCATGCCTGGCTGATTTTTGTTTGTTTGTCTGATTGTTTTTTGTAGAGATAGGGTCTTACTCTGTTGCCCAGGCTGGTCATGAACTCCTGGGTTCAAGTGATCCTCCTACCTTGGCCCCCAAAGTGCTGGGCTTACAGGCATGAGCTACTGCATCCAGCCAACATTTTATTTTAATCTAGTTTTTTTCTCTGACCTTTTTCTGCTTCAGTAGGAAATATTTATTTTCTTTTCCCTCCAGATTATCATCTGCTGCCATGAACCAAATCTCTCTTTCATGGAATCAGTTGCTTAAATCAGCAGTGTCAGTTACAGAGATGCCTTGAAACAGATAATTGGAAGTGGGTATAGATCTGAGCGGTAGCTACAGTGTGATGTATGGGATTGAAAGTACAGTGATTTGTGTATCTCCTCCTCTTCTGTGTGCAGGATCATACCTGTATTAGTGATCAGTCCTGCTCTTTAGTTGACCCTATAGCCCCGTCGGGATTTGAAACAGGAAGAAGCTTGTAGCCAGTCAGTTGAAGCTTAAATTTAGGGCTGGAAATTGTGCTTATTCAGTTGCGACTTCTATTTTTCCTTTTTATATGTTCACTTTTGTACTCAATGTTCATTCCCTGCTTTTTTCCCATACATTCCTGCGTTTTCCTGAATGCTTTCTTTCTTCGTTTTATTATTTTTTTCTCTTTCTAATCTTTCCTATTTATTTTCGCATCTTTTCCCTTTTGTAACATACTATTGCCAATCATGCTTATGTACTTGTTAGGTCTGAGAAAGTGGGAAACAGAACTATGGGTGGTATATTCTGATCACTCCATTTTAGTTTTGACACATAGACCTGACTTGTGCCTACTTCCTTGCCAGTAGATCATACTTTAGGCAAGGCTAGGGTATTGGTATTAGCCTTGACCCTCTCTGGTGTTTTCACTAGCTCATATGTCCTTTATGGTTTTCTGCCACCATAAAATATGAAAGTTAAGTAATTTGAAGGTGTTCAATATCCCACAGTCTTGACTTTTCCATTTCAGCTATTTGAGTGTCATCCGTTGCCACCCATTGATGTCAAGATGACTAAGCTTGGATTTTTGCGATTGTCCTATGAGAAGCAGGACACACTTTTGAAGCTTCTCATTCTGTCAATGGCTGCCGTGTTATGTGAGTGTGCACATGGACCTTTCTTTGCGAAAGGAGAAAATCTTGAAAAAATTTGAAAGTGGCTTTCTTAAAATGCCTTGCTCTTTTTAGAAGATTGCTATGTTTTTCCTCCCTCATCAGTATAATTTTATGAAGGCAAAATAAAAGAAATGTAAGGAATATAAAAATCAGGGCTGCGATCATCTGGGAAAGAATGGAAAGCATGCTGTGCTAATTCTGTGTTTTCAAAGGGCTGAAAGAGATATTGGGGAACCCTGGGCACTGAATTTGGTAAAAAATAATTATCTTCAATTTAGATACCTTAGTATTTTTGAAAGTTTCTTGAGAACTAGCTCTGTTGTTTAGATTTTCTGGCTCTTCATGAGTCATAAGTATATCTTGTGTTGCTTGCCATACCTCTTAGTTTTCTCCAAGGTTAAGGTTAGTTCTGTGTGCGTGGGAAGAGTCAACACGTATAAAAGATCACCATGTAAGTTGAGTTCAGTATTAGTAGGTGAATGTAATGTTACGGGCTTTGTAGTGGTTAACTATGTCCTACCTAAGTGGAAAATGTAGAAATGTTTCATTTATATGGGGAGAGATGGATAAAGACTTTATTCAGGGATTATTTTATATTTTTTGTGACCTCTGTGCTGGATAATACTATTTTCTCTGTAATACTCCTATATCTGCTATTGTTCTTTCATGGCACATTACAATTAAAATATTAATTCTGTGATTTTTGCAGCTTTCTCCACTCGTCTCTTTGCTGTCCTGAGATTTGAAAGTGTTATCCACGAGTTTGATCCGTGAGTACCTTTGCTTGATCTGGCATTACTTCCTTTGCGAGGCATCCAGGTTCATGAGTTTCAGATTCAAATTCCAGGCAGCTCTCAGTGACGGTAATGTGCTTCTAGTACATTTAAGGGAAAAAAAACCCTTCAAGTTTTCCAAAGGAGATAGTTATCTTCCTTTGAATCATTTCTGTTGGAAATGACCAAGTAAGTCTCTCAAACTTAAAAAGTGTGAGAGGCGTTGGCTGCGTATGGTGGCTTGTGCCTTTATTCCCAGCTATTAAGGACACTGAGGTGGGAGGATCTCTTGAGCCTAGTAGTTCGAGATCAGCCTGGGCAACATAGTGAGAACCTTGTCTCAAAAAAAGAAAAAAAAGGAAAAGAAAGAAAGAAAAAGAAGGGAACCAAGTTGGGCATGGTAGCATGTGCCTGTAGTCCCAGCTACTCAGAAGGCTGAGGCAGGAGGATTGCTTGAGCCTAGGAGTTCATGGCCATAGCGCACCATGATCATGCCTGTGAATAGCCCTTTCATTCACAACGTAGCAAGACCCTGTCTCTGAAAAAATAAATAAAATGGGAGAGGCATTGCTAGTATGTCTGCTTATCACTTAAGAGCTGGCTAGACTGACAGAAGTCTGGCTTCTCAGTTTGGTCACGAGTTAGTGTTGGCGAGTGAGGGAAAGGGGCATGTATGTATCCAAGGCTGAAATCATGAACTTGAGATTCGTAACTTTTTTTTTTCTGTTTAACAATTTATATGATAGGCCGGGCACGGGGGCTCATGCCTATAGTCCTAGTGCTCTGGAAGGCTGAGGTGGGAGGATCGCTTGAGCTCAGGAGTTCAAGACCAGCCTGAGCAACAGTGAGACCCTGTCTCTACTAAAAAATAGGAAAAATTAGCC